CGCCTGGTATTTCTATTGTGCGTTTGTTAAATAAAATGGAATTAAAAAAATACTTAGTGTAGCTTGGGCTTATTGAACAAAGGGAATTCTATGAGGAATAAAATCTTGGTCTGATTCAGTGTAGATGATAAAAAGAAGAGGTTGATGCAAAAACAAAAGCTTTACTTTGAAAGTAGATTTGCATACTCCTAACCCAGGTGTCAGGTACTTATCTGAACCTAGGTGTCAGCCACTAACAGATTTTTGGAGTCATCATTCTGGCATCTTGAGACATGAATGAAATTGCTATAATATAAGGTAAAGCAGAATTAGAATGTTGATAATAGATGTTAAGATTAGATAAATTATTAGCCAAATTTAAAATCTTTACACCTTTTTGGTAATGTTTGATGAGCTTGTATTAATTATCTACTGTGTGTGTTAATTTTAAGATTTTAAACATAGAAAAAACAGTAACATTTTTAATGCAAACTAATTATTTCCATAAATATTTAACTTCAAGCCTTAAATATCATTTATTTATAATAAAATGCAAAATAATTCTTGGTAATAATGAATATATACTGGAAAATATTGATATTTAATTAAGTGCTTTCATTCATAGAAAGACATCAGATGAAGCTGAAGTTGTCAACTAAAACATTATCATGGTTAAACACATACAGATCGATAATATTGATTCTTTTATTATGCCATATATTTATATTTTTGCATACATATACATTTAGACTCCATGTTTGTACCTGCATTGGAAGTATTTATGGGGTGAAGGAATATTCTTGATAGAATCTCTGTTTAGTTACAAAGAATTTTCGGAGAATCAAATTGTAGGTGCAAGGCAGATACTTTATTACCATAAACTGTGATCTATATCTCAGGTTGTAACCATGAGTGTGGTATGAGCTATGTAGAATGGAACATAAGAATGACCTGAAAGCTCAGTAGAAAGGAAGAAAAGTATAGAGACTTCAAAGAAGTAGCTGGATGAAATTAACCTGCTGTAGATGTTGGTAGTTAGGAAATATCTGACAGCAGTGCAAAATTTACCTGTGACTGTTGATGAGGATGGTTTACCATGTAAACATACATTCCTATGTTTATAATCACGTTGATCATAATGAAATAGAACAAATTGCCATTTAATATGAAATGAGTGTGATTTGAATAGTATAGCATACTTTTTAACTATTCAGTTTCAGCACAACTACATCAAACATTGTACTAGGTTATAAAAATATATTCATATTTAATGTATACAATAAACCAATGAAAAAATACTTTATTGTCTTCACTTTACAGAAAAGGAAAGTGTGGCTCAGCCAGGTCCTGTAAATAATCTGAGACCACACAGCTTCTGAGAGTCCCGACTGGATTGATCATCTGGATACACAAAAGCCCATTCTCCCAACCTCTGATTATGCTTGTCATATTTTGGGATTCAGGAAATCTGTAGACAGAGGCTGAGGATGAGAATAAGAAAGAAAAAACAACCAATATTGATTAAAACCCTGGCTTTTAGAGTCAAAACATTACTCGAGTGTCCATAGCAGTATTGCATAAGTATTTATTCTGGAGAGTACCGATGCCATGTTACACACATACTACACCAGATATTTTTAACAATTTCCATTTCAGCAAAAATGAAATTGTCTCTTGGATTTGCCCACCCGCATCTCTGTCTGTTGAAAAGCAAGTTGAAATTTCTCACAGACCATACAAATGTTTATATACTTAGAATTATACACAAATAGTTCAGAAAAATATACCACAGCTATGCTGGATTCCTCTAAATGAGATCATTTCTACTTGCAAGAATAATAAAAGTATTTTTAAATTATTATACAGAATTATTTTTGAGCTATCCCATCAAAATTAGCAGTGACAAAGATAGTTTTAAAATACTAAGTGACACATTTTTCATGTTTTGTCTATAGTTACAAATAAATCAATATTCATAGCAAATGAACTGATTTAAATAACAGAAACAGTGAACAGAGGAACAAAGCCTACAGTAGACAAATGTAAATCCATTTGAAAAACTCCATTAAAAAAAATCTCTGAGTGAAAAAAACTGCCACTTTTCAAGGGAAAAATACAATGATGTAAAGAGTATAAATTTTTCTTATTAACTCTCTTCCTTGCCACTATTTAATTTTCTTTGGACCAAAGCAAGAATTGATTTTAGGTGACTTCTGGTAGTACAATAATGGAGACTAGTATTAGACAAGCAGGATATTTTGAATACTTAAGTCAAGTATTTTTTCTGTCTTTATTATAAGAAATAATGTCTAATTGCTTGTGTAAGCTAAATAGTTGAGTGAAGAATAAGTAACAGACAATAAATAATGGAAGAAAAGAAGAGAAGAAGCCAGAATACTTCATAGTTGTTCAAAAGTGAAGTAAAAAAAAATGTTCTTTAAGTCCATTAAAGTATTTATTTAAAATTTTAAAGAGTTACATATTAAACTTTGGGTCGACAATTCTGAGGCTAAAATATGAAGTTAAGACATCCTTATAACAGTTTTTTCCTGCTTTACTATAGTACAATCTCTTAGTTCAGAATACCACTATGCGCTTTATTCAAGATGAAGGTGAATCACAAAATTAAAATCTAGTTGGTTGCCTTTATTTGTAAATTTACTAAGAAAAATGTGCACACTGATTGGGAAAAGCAGAGGGAAAAGATGATTTGAGCTTGCAGAAATTTTTCTCACAGATGTTTGTAGACACATAAATGACATGGCATATTTAGTTTAGAGAAAAAATGAAGAACTTCAAAAAATAAGGCATGTTTTAAAAATTCTTGGATGAGTTGTATAGCTTTGGGTTGCATGAATTTTACTTGATAAGAAAAATGTATGCTGGCCCACTCCAATGGCTCTTTGCCTTCCCGAGTCAGGATCCCATATGGGCTACAGGTTATGTCCCAGCTGTTGCACTTCCCATCCAGTTCTGTGCCTGTGGCCTGGGAAAGCAATAGAGGATGGCCCAAAATTTTGGGACCCCCTCACCTGTGCAGGTGACCCAGCAGATGCTCTTGGCTCTTGGCTCAGGAGTGATCAGCTCTGAATGTTGCAGCTACTTTGTGGGTGAACCAACATATGCTAGATCTTTTTTTCTGTGTTTCCTTTTCTGTGTTAATCTGCTTTTCCAAAAAAAATAAAATAAATCCTAATAAATATATACATATGCCTTCTAATCCATAATCATATTTTTCTTCCCACTTGGACAAAATGCTAATATTTGTTTCAACCTAAAAATTGAAATGTAAGCTGGAGGAAACTAGCTAACAAATCAACCAAAATTGTTATGATTTATGCATGATGAATGCCATTTGAGAAGCCCAAGGCCACCTGGATACCAAGTTTAAGAATTTGAGACTCACAGTTAACAGAGAGCAACAACAGTAATAATGATTTATATAAATCCATGCTGAAGGAAAATCCTTCAATTTTTGAAAAAGATTAGAGGCTTCTAAAGTACACCTGCAAACAAACAAAAATCTTAATAACGTATTAATGCAAAGTTGGATTCTGAAAAGAGATGTTAAAATCCTGTTTCTTTTTCTGAACACTCAAATTTGCCTTGCTTGCTTGAAACAACTGTAAACAAAAACAGAGGCCTTTATTTTTCTATTGAATTATGCCAAGCATAATTTTTCAAACTATTGGAAAAAGTAATATTATTTACAGACAGTAGAAAAATCACCGTGGACGGAAAGTGGATTGATGGATAATGTTACCAAAGTCAGTGCAATTTACTGTTCTGTTGAGATTTTACCTTCATGTATCACTGAAAAATTAACAAAGCCTTAATGCATCATCATTGACAAATAGGATAAGAATCTAACCAGCATGATAATAACCTCCAAATAATAGAGGGACCAGTAACTCTAAGATAAAAAGAACATCACTTTTTCTCTAGAAACTGATTTTGAGTGGCATGGTTGAGAAATGGGTTTTAAGGTAGAGAGTTAGTGATGTTTAAAGAGGTAAGCTTTTTAGATTAAATTTCTTTGTCTAGAGAAGCAATAAAAACATAATCTTCTACAATAGTAGATGTGCTGACATAGATGAAAAATCCATGCTTTAAAAAGATAGACATATATTACATAGAAGGCACATGCCTTGGTATTTTCATTCAATATCTTAGTAATAAAGTTTTCTTCAATCTTAAATAGTGAAAAGTAATGAATACTGCATCATTATCAAGGTGGAAATACCTAGGCTGCTTTGTGGTACCACTGTGTCTCCATTTAAAAATGATCCACTGATAAGAGTGATCCTGTGCAGTGTCTGTTCCTTCCCCCAACAAACTCCTAAATGGTTTCCTTAAAACAGCATCATCAAATCCTTTGAGAACTGCATACCAAGACAGATGTAGTAATGTCAGTTGATTTCAGAAATTCCCCTTTAGTCAAGAGAAAACAGGCAAAAAGTATGAGGCTACAGTAATTTCTAGAATGAAAGAAATGCATAAAAAAGTAGAGACAGAGGAAAATATATGTGGGCTAAAGTTAATGGGTAGTAATTATTTAAAATTCAGAGGAAAATATATGTGGGCTAAAGTTAACAGGTAATAATTATTTAAACTTCAGAGTTTTGGATTATATGATTTTGTTTTCATAAAAATGGAGGAAGTCAGCAGTTGGAAACTGTTAGCCCTTAACATAGATATTGGATTACTACTATCCTCATATACAAACACCTTAATCATTATCATTTTCTCAAAGTTTTAATGGATCATTTCATATAATCTGGGTTACCAATCATAAATAGAGTTGTTGAATCCTGTGGTTACACAGGAACTGATCCCTATTCTAGAAACTAGATAATGGTACAAAGTCCCACAACACTTCTGAAAAGCTTACGTAGGAATGAGTGGTAGTAATTGCCAATTGACGAATACATAATAATTTCCATTCACGCAGTCCTCTGTTATCAAGCACAAGTGCACGAAAGGGGTAACCATGGTGGGATTGAGTTTTTCCAGTTAACATTTAAAAGTATCTTGAGAGCCTCAGGTCTTGTCTCCAGTGCTATCTGACTTTCTGCAACTCTTGTCTCAGCCAGGAGGGCAGAGGCTGCCCCAATCGATGCAGCAGTTTGGACAATTCCACATTATGATCTCGGTAGTAGTTAGAGAGGAAAGATCTAGACTGGAAAGTGAAAAAAGAAAGAAAACTTGAAAGAAGTTACTCATCAAACATAATTGTGAAATCAATATTTCTCAAGGGCTTTTGCTACAATGTGTGTTCAAAATATTACCTTATTGTATTTCACTGCAAATATCAGTCATTTTTTTTCTTTGTAAAGATTTGACACAAGCAAAGCTATAAAGAAAGCAGGTTGAGGTACACTCTATGTGACTCTTTTAACGTTGGAGCACATTTATTCTTGGATTTGTGAGAACTACACAGAGAAAATTTGAGAGCAGGCTCATAATGCCAGAAAGAGCTAGGCACCTCATGAACATCCAAATCAATTGAAATGAGCTCTGCAATAATGCTTGCATTTTTCTTTAAAAATTATCTCACAGAATGAAAATTAAAAGCATCAGCAGTCATAAAAGTGGAAATTCATGATCACTAAATTAACTTGCAGCATTACATAGACATTTTACTTATTCAAGACTACAAATGGCATACAGGTACATGAAAAAAATATATACAGTATCTCTAATCAGTCAGAATATAGCATCACATTTTAATTGCTAATGGGTTTATGCTTCTGAAATCTAATAAGGTCTCTGAAGTTTGATCTGTTTTGTTACTTTTCTGTTGATAGTCAATCTGGAGATATTAACTTTTATTAAATAAATGGCTTTAAAATTACTATAAAACATATCAGACATTAGTTTTATTCTCTGTCGCTATAAACTTCAGTAAGACAAAAATCTTGTGATTGGGCTTTCTTTCTGAGTGTCATTTTGTGTTACCACCCAATTAACACAGTACTGTACTTCTTTGGTAAAATAGTGGAGGTGTGCACTTTGCCTGATAGTTAGAAGTGGCAATTGTATATACACTGATTTCTCACATGACAGGAATTCCATCATTTCTCTTTTTTGATTTAATTATATTTCTTGGGAAGTCAGATATACAAAGAGGGTAGAGACAGATGGGAAGATCTTCCATCTGTTGATTCTTTCCCCAAGTGGCCACAACAGCCAGAGGTGCTGCACTCTGAAGCTAGGAGTCAGGAGCCTCTTCTTGGTATCTCAAATGGGTGCAGGATCCCAAGGCTTTGGCTCATCCTCGACAGCTTTCCCAGATCACAAGTAGGAAGTTGGATGGGAAGCGGGGCTTCCAGGATTAGAACCATTGCCCATGTGGGATGCTGGTGTGTGCAAGGTGAAGACTTTAGCCAATAGGCTGTTGTGCTAGGTACTTAGCACCTCTCTTAATCCCTCCCCAATATTAAAAAAAGATAGGTCTTTTTCTTCATGAAAGTTCTTCATCAACATTTGTGTGTATTTTAGATATGGATTTAAGACAACCATATTTGATCGCTTGTCGGCCTTTTGGCATACATCACGTATAAGACCACTATAATTTGCCTTGTACCATTTGCCAAACGTTTCATTATGATTCTTCCCTTAAATCCGATTATAAACTGTTGAAATTTGGGATAAGATGTTTATAGTAGTAGTGGGAACAATACATTGATTTCATGGCAGATTAAAATGATGACTAAAACCCTTTTGAAATTACTAAATTGAAAGCCATAGTTTAAGAACCCTCTGGCACGTCTATCTCTGTTGTAACCACTTCCATCACTTGCATCCTCCTTGGGCACACCCTGCCATCAGAAGGTGAGCTCATGCTGTCTGGCTAAACTGATGCTGGGTAGGTTACCAACCCTAGTGTGCCACATAAGGCATTTCTCATCATAGCCTCATTTGTACTGAGAAATCATTCTGTCCGTTTGTAGCTTCATTTATCATAGTTTTGTGCTTTCTATTATAAATCAATGACTATAATTTATCTATATTATAATAAATCAAAGTTTACACCAGTTTTGCTCATCTAGGTTCTTTGTCAGTTTGTTTGGTATCATGCATGTGGTAGGTATTATAATCATAAAATTTGTATATTTTATCCCAAAATGATAGATTACTAATTTATTGAGGCAAAGGATTCATACATTTGGAAAAGGACTACTTTTCAGTAAATATTTAGGTTTGAAGTGCATCCAACAGCAAATTTTAGGGAAACATATCAACCCCGTCTATGTACTTGCCATCTATGTATTTGTCTCTGTTTTCTAAATATATAAACTTGTTGATTCCTTAGACAGAGAAGAATATTTCTATGGCTAGTACTGAAGGAACTACCTGATTTTTTGTCTGTATTATTAAAATATCAGGAAAATATTACCTCTGGATCCATGGGTGGGTATTTTCGTCCTTTGCCTTTCCCAAGGCATTTGGTCTTTCCGCCTTCCAGTAGCTGACACCAGAAACCCTTTTGAGGATCAAACCTAAAGCATATAAGGCACTTACTGATAAAGTATTGTATTCAGAATTTTCAGAACAGGGTGTCTCATGCCTGGATCCCACACACCAGCCACTATGTGCATGTGGTGAGCTGTCCCTGGGCCTGCCTGGGCTCCAGGGGCTGCTCCCCTCAGGTGAGTACACCAAGAGGGGAAGTCTCCATGACTGGGTAGGTCCGGTCCCACCCACTGCCCTCATTGGGCGGTGAATGGGATTGGGGAGCGGCGCGACCTTGGGCCTGGGAGTTTAAACTTCCCGGCTGCAGGTGGGTCTCAGGACTGGGCGTCTCATGCCTGGGATCCCACACACCAGCCACCATGTGCAAATGGTGGTGAGCTGTCCCCAGGCAGCCAGTGTGCCATTTGGCACCAGGCTCCCCCTACTGGCCACCCGGCCGGGGAGCTCTGGGGTTTGGGTTCTTTGATAGCTGCTTAGGCAGCTCCAGGTTGAACCCACTGTGCTTCTAGGATGTGAATCAATCCTAAAGATTTCCAATGATAGTAACTCTTCCTTTAAGAACTTGTAATCACTTAACAATGATGAGCACCTGTTCATGCAATAGCTAAGGTTCGGGGCTTGTCCAGCAGGATATGCTATTACCTGACATAATGATGGATCAGCTGATGGGTCACACTAGGCAGGCCATGACATTAACTAGCACTCGAGAACTATATCTGGGGGTGGATTTTGTGAGGGATGTGTGGGCCACACCCTGTGAAAATTCTAGCCCCACTGGTTAGCTCAAGAGATGGGGTGGTGATGGACTATGCTAGGTGTGACCAAGGAGCTTTCCATCAACCACAGGCAAAGGAACCAACAACAGTCTGGACTGGTCAAGGCAAGCAGCACCCAAATGTACATCCTGAATAGGGTGTGGGGTGGGCTGGGCTGCAACATTCACCAGCTCATACACGGCCAAATGGAAGGCCAGACTGTGCCAGGCACTGGCCTAAATCCCAATGGCATGTATGAGAACTGGGTATGGGAGTGGATCAAGTGGAGGATCTTGGGAAACTCCCCTGGTGAGTCACAGCTCCTGCTGGTGAACATGTGGTCCAGACCTGGGGGTCTGACAAGCTGGGCAGAGTAGCACCAACTGCTGGCCATTGTGTCAATTGGTAATGGAGAGTGATGTACTGGGCAGGACCAAGTACATCTTGCACCTACTGGTCTGCGTGAGTCAGGGACGCTAAGCCACAGTGTCTAAGGCAGAGGCCGGGATAGGTGAGGGGCCGAGCTAAGCTGAGTCAGAGCAACCACTGGCATGTGCATGATCTATGGCTGGGAACAGGCCCGGTTGGGGAGCTAAGGGGACATCCTAGCTGGGTGGAGGTTCCAGCCAAGGGGCACATGGGCTGGAATGGGGGCTGCGTTCTGATCAGGATACAGTTGTAGTCTCCCTTGGCACAAGTGTGGATGGGGACTGGATGCACCAGACCAGGCCAGATCCCAACAACGTCTGGTGTACCGGAGGAAGAGGATAAATGTGGGATGGACTAGGCTAGGTCTCAACCCCTACTGATCCATATGTGAGACATATGTGGGTATGTACGAGCCATGGCTGAGCTGAAACATCCAATAGCAAGAACCAGATTGGATTGAAGGCAAGTCAGGAAAGGCCACTGTTCTTACTAGAACAGGAGGTGAACCGAGTAGGGCTGGCTCATGGAACCCCTGGTATGCGCAAAATCTGGCATTGGGAGGGGTTCTGATGGAGGAGCCTGGGCAACTCCTCTGGCAGAAGCATGATAGGAAACAGTCCAGAATAGGCCATGGAAAGTTTCCCACTGGCATACATTTGGCAAGGATCAGGGGCAGACCAGGCTGAATCAGTTCACGTCATCCACTGGCAAATCCAGGCACTAAAACAGAGTGTGGGTTGAACCAGGTTTGGTCACGACAAAAACCAGTGCACAATACAGAATGCCAAGGTGAGGTTGCCTGTACTGGATGTGACCGCAACGCCCAACCAGCATGTGTGAGAACCAGGAAGGGTGTGAGCAGAGCCAGCAGGGGGAATAAGGGAGGGTCCCCTTGCTGGACAGCTACTTCCACTGGAGAGTGTGGGCTGGGATGAGTGCAGACCAGACTAAGCAGGGCTACAACACTTGTGTGCCTCATGTGGACTAGATCAGGTAAAGCCAGGCTGAGCTGATTATTCCTACTGGTGCAAGCATGAATTGGAGTGGGTGAGAGTTGTTTGGGCTTAGCTGCAGCATCAGCTGGCAGAAGCTGGCACCGGAGGCTAATTCTGTCAAGTCAAATGCCAGAACCACCTGAAGAGTGCATAATCCTGGAGTGAGAGAGACCTGAGAGGGAAATAGTGGGCTCCTCCCTCTTGGGTTACCACTCCCAAAGGAGGGCACGAACACTAGGACAGTGGCTGGGGTGGCTAGACAGAGAGGCACTAAACAACATCTGTGAGGGCTGGATAGTTGAGCTGATTGGATGGAACTAAGCTTCAATACTCATCGACATGTAAGAGAGCCAAATGGGACAGACTGGACTAGTCTGCTACACATACTGGCAAACCAGGGTAGGGGGCAGGCCTGGTGGGGGTTATTGTGGGTGGCTCTGACTGGCTGCAACCCCCACTGGTTTATGTGAGGGCCAAGTATGTGCTGGGCAGAACCAGGCTGGAATGCAAGAGCCATTGGTTCCAGTGGAAGTTGGGGCTGAAAACAGAACCAACCCAACAATTGCAACCACTAGCTGATCGGGGCAATGGACTGTGTCGGGCCCACCCCAGTCGAAATGCCGGACTCAGACCCCTAACCAAGAAAAGACAGAAGACAGAACAAGTCAATCAACCACCTCAGCTATTTGTTGGCAGCGAAATACTGGGCAAATGGAGACTCTATGAGGGACTGTGTCGATCAGTGGATTCTTCAGCGATCTCATCATGCTTAGAGTGGCGAGATTGGCAGCGATTCATAAATGGTGAACTATTAATACCACTTGAGCAAGTATCTCAGAGCATGCCCTACATCCGGGACCTGGGGTGGGTGAGAAACTGGGTGGGGCTTCTCCCTCAATATCCCGCTTTACCTCAGATACAAGAAGGAAACAATATGGAAATAATAGTCTTATCTAACTCCCTATAGCCCTTAAACATTTTTACTCTAATTAACTATGTAAAGATTGTCAAAAATATAATAAAAAGTTAAAAAAACAAAAACCAGAATTTTTAGTGAGAGAGCCTCAACAATAGATAACTTTACATAATTGCATTTTTATTGCTTTATTGTATTTGTTCATTTCTACAGATGATCATTCAGATGATTTGAGACAGGTTAAGGGAAGTATAGGTCATATTTTTAAATGGTTCTAACTGAATGAATGAAGGAGTTTAGATCTGTAGACTAGTTTACTTATTTTAAAGTCAGGGAGTTAAAGAGAGGTACAGAGATGCTATAAGAATAGCATGATTATACACATATTACATTAGATATACATATATGCATCTCTTTATTTATATAAATATATATAGAGAGATAAAGAGATATTTCTATCTATATCTATATCTATCTATATCTATCTATCTATCTATCTATCTATCTATCTATCTATCTATCTATCGTCTTCCATATGCTGGTTCATTTCTCCATTCTGGCAACTCCCAAAAATAGGCTACGGCAAAGCCAAGAGCAGAGCCTTCATTCAGGTCACCTGTGCTGGTGTCATGAACTGAGCACTTGAGCTATCACGTCATGTGTCACATTCCTGGGTATATGGTAGCAGGAAGTTGGAATGGACATTGGAGCTGAGATTTGAACCCTAGCACTCTGATATGGGACATGAGTTTCTCAAGTGGTAGCTTAACTGCTATCCCAAATGCTCAAGCAGGGTAGAACAATTTTATGTGAAAGTTTCTGAAAACTACATTTTCCTTATAAGCCTATAAAAAGATGCCATAATGACATTACGGCTAATTTATAAAGAGCATGTAGTACATTTAATTTACTGAGTAATATGATTTTAATGTCAACATGTTTTAGCAACTCTCTTTGACTGTATCAATGTTACTTATTAAACATCTTCACAGGAGCATACATATGTTTATCAAAACATAAACATAATTAAACTTTCCAATTTATAAAAGTATCATTTTTCTATTTTAAAATATTTGCACATTTCATAAAAGGGAATACATATATTTTGCAAAGCATGAGACAGGCTACACGAATGGTGAGAGGAAAATTGGACAGCTCCCCTTTTCCTTCTTCAAGGTAAATAATCTCATTGGATAATTCAGGTCCCTACAGTGTTATAAAAAGAAAACTAATGTTTTCCTCCTATGAATGCATTATGTTACAGAAGAAAGGCTGTGACCAAATCATTTTATTTATTTAAAGTTAAATATGTAAGAATTTTTGTTTATGATTAACAAGACAGGAAAAAAAAATAAGAGAATGAACCAAACAAGAAAGAACATTTTATGTTTATTACTATGGGATTTAGTGTATGCATAAAACATTGAAAAGGTTTCCATTTTGTTGCTCAGCAGATGTTTTAGTAGGATGAAGCATAATTGACTGGGATGTAAAGTTAATTAGTTGCAGGATATTTTGTTGCCCTTGGCCCATTCCTGTAATACCAGTGCACCTGCAATTTTCCTCTGCACACGTGTGAACTCATTTAAGGGGAGGAGGAAATTTTCTCCAAAGTTCTCTGCTCAACCTGTTATTAGAGACCTGATCCTTTCAGTTCAAGTCGTGCTAGTACATGTAATCAATTAAAATTTAATATATCACCAGTTAAATGGGTAAAAAGAAGACAGAGTCACTTCCAACCTGTGGTTTTCAATCAGTTCCCTGCCTATCACAGTGTTTTCTCTGGTTTTCTCTAATTTCCCAAGAGAAGAAACAATTCGTCATGCTGTGCAAAATGAGATGGAGAAGTAGGTTCCACTGTGACCCTGACAGCATTTTCTGCCGCAGGATGAGAATATTTAGCTGCATTAAGACAAAAATACAGTTAGGCAAGAAAACCAAGATATTTAGGCACATGCTGAGCACATATCCTCTGTGCTCAGGAACTGCAGAGGTCTCCGGGTGGGCTCCGGTCGCTCCTTGCTCTTCACAGCAACTGTTCTATGCAGGATTTAGCACAGCCTGAGGATGAGAGCCCTCTGGCATGCGGAAAGCCATTTTGAAAGATAGGGTTGTCATAACCTTGAAGGGAAAGGATTTTGCAGCCTTGGTTTCATTTATTGCATTGGCAACTTTATGTACCTGAAGTCTAACAAAGGGCATTTATCCTCTCAAGTTATAGCAGTTCATTGTTTTATGGTTTTATTTTAGTAGGCATGAAATTGTAAAATGAAGATGTCAAGCCTTTCTCAAATGACTGTTAGACAACTTTTAGAGCAGTGGTTGCTTGCCATTGGAGTTTTTTTTATTACACTGAACATCACTATAGTCATTAATTTTTGTGCTGTGTGGGACATATTAAGAATCATATATCTTGTACTTGTTATAATCTCTTCTTCCAAAGTATGATTTTATAGTTATTGAACCATAAGCAACTGTTTGTAGAAAACAGGATGAAACTGTTAGCTAAACTAATTCTGAGAGCGAAGGTTTCAGTGATTCATGCTAAACATGTCATGAGAAACTTTATTTACTTAAACAGGAGCATGCCTTGTGTTGTTAGATCCATGTGTAGGTAAAACTTCATTAAGGCTGCTTCAGTGGGTAAAGAACAACCAAATCTTATTACTGCTTTTCCTGTCTCTCCATTATCCAGTCTAATTGTCTAATTGCTGGTTCTAATCTGCTATGTACTGGGAAATTAGATAATCAGACTTGTTTGAATTTTGCCTGAAATTTAATAGGCTCTGCATTAGACCTTGCAGGAGTAAAATACATGCTTTTCAAAAGTATTTGTGGCTGAGAATGTATGTTTAAAAAGTTTTTTTTGGTTATTGAATTTCTTAAGGTTTGGTTTTATTTATTAAGATGCTTTAGCAATATTCATCATCTGCTTTTTCATTTCTAACCTGTAAACTACATCAGATGAGAAGAATATCTCTTCTTCACTTGGGCAATATTAATTCATAGGACATTTTTTTGTTTAGAACGAATAAGTAACATGATTATTTAACTAAAACAATACAGAGAAAAAGTTCACCACAAGAAAATATTTTCATAAAATAATAAAATATATGTAAGATAATGTTGTATAGGAAAAAAGGTATTCCTGATATTCATAAGGAAGCTATCAGAGAATGAAATTGACTGCTTTTGAGTAGCATAATGATGTATAAAATCATAACTAGCACTAATGAGGATATATGCACACCTACCAGTGATGATTTATGACTGCAGATAAAGGAAATGAAATCGAGCATGAGAATGCACTCACGTTAATGCTTCAGAGTAATTATAATGAGGAGTAACTCCCAGAAACTTCTGGACTTCATCCATCACAGTAGCTGGGTCAGATCTCAGCTGCTGTCCGTCAATAATTAGTAACTGTAAGGTCAAAAATAATCACTTTATGAATAAGAATGCTAAATTGAATAGTTGGGGCTGCCTATCCAGACTTGGTACAACATTAATAAGTCAGGGTAATAGGGAGAAAACAAATTCTTCTGAGAATACCTACTCATGTTTACTAAATTTACGTCCTTCCAATAAATAATAACGTTTTTCATAGGCATTTTTGTGTAAATTATCAAGTTGCAGCCCTTAACTTACTTTACTGTAAATCAGAAATAAACAGTTATTTTCCTTGATTTTCAGCACAAATAGAATTTTCCATTCACAGTGTAATCAGATATTTTTAAAGCCTACCCTAACCTAGGGACTAACCCTTGAGATTAGAACTGTGAAACAGTGTGCATCCTGATGAAAATTAACAAAGAGAAGAGGAAGAAATGCTCTTCCTATTTTTTGACTCACAAACATGGAGTATCAAAACTAAGTTATGCTACAAATGTCGTTGCTGAATCCTACTTGCTGGGAACTCAATTCTGCTGAGCTGGAATGAAGAATATTAATGTATGAGCACTTTCCTCAAACTCTGTAGGTTTTACTCTGTCCTGTGTTGCTGGAGTTGCTATGGCACTGTTCTTTTGGCAGGCTTGTGTTTGACCTTCGTAAAAGGATAGACACCAAATGTACATTTGCACATGGTGCTCCTTGAGGTTATTGCTGAACTGACTGCTCTTCTAGCAGCTAATAATCATTTCCCATGAATCCCATGCTTTCTCTGTGGATATTTATCACTTTAGAGCAGCCACTTTTCAGAAAAAAGTTTCTTGAGGTTGTGTTTCAGAGTCATTCAACAATCATCTGATTGTATTACTGCAATTAGTAGAGTTCAAAACCTACATAAAGTCCTAACTTTGCACTATCTCTGTATAAATGTGGCAACATGAATTCACATTTTCTGATTGACATCGCAGCATAACTATGCTATGGCTAAAGAAGAAAGTAGGTTTAGTACGTTACCTGAGAAGTGTCAAAGTAAGTCAGCCATCTCTCTATGTGCACAGCATACCATCCAGGAATGAGGCATCTCTTCTGCAAGGTCTTAAGGTCAGATGGAGCCCAATGATCGGTTGAAATAACTTCATAGAAATTAAACCTCAGGGCAGCTGGGTCTTCATGGGATCGTTGGTGCTTTATAAAGATAGACTGCAAAGTTAGTGTTTTGTTTTCTATAGGTTATGTGTTTTTTTGTTTGAGTAACGTGTGCGAATGTCTGACATGGATATGTGTCTGTATTGATATGCATGTAATGTATACACACACATACATATATGCGTGTATGCCTCCCTTATTATACATAAAGATAAAGAAAATATTCATCCTTAAAGTTTGCCTAGGTATCATTCATGCTGATGTTGTCCAATATCCTTTTCTTTAGCTTTTTCATAGTTCTCTACCAGGTTTTGTTGATTTCTAAATACAACTCTACTGCTACGTTTTGTGCTATTCCTCTGTTTCCTTTGAACTTACCCAGTGTTTGACAGGCAAAAGTAAGTCTGATTCAATGAGAGGTGGATTTCACAATCAATACACTAGTGTTTATTATGTTACTTTGTAAAATTGCATAATGGGTCTTATGAGTAATGGATCCTATGCATGGGCCAGAAACAAAAGTAACTAGAAAAGTGAAGGTGATGAGGAAATAGTAAAAGCTCAAATAATAATAAAGGAGTCGCATATTGGTGGTGGTTAAGTAAAGCCCTCTTATTTTGCACATTTGACATTACTGTATATGTATTATGTAGAACATGTATTTAGTATAAGAAGTATATATAAATGTACATGCATTAAATAGTGCAGAGATTATATAATTTATTGTGATAACAAATGGATAGATATTACATCTCAAATAAATAATTATAGGTACACTATGTTTATATTAACACAGTACAATGACACTGATTTTTCTATCTTGATAATGATAATATTAATATGCTCTGTATTCACTTACATTAGTTTAGTGCCATTTTTTCTTTATATTCCTAAAATAAGAAGATCAGCACAAAATTGTGACCAAAATGTCACAAAGGGACACATTTTGTGAAAAAAAAAATAGCACTATAGCTTCTTTGTGAGGTGCATTATAAAAAAGTGGCTTAGAAATTACAGTGGTAGGTGACATTTGTAGGAGTTTTTGTATGACACATGCTGAGCCTGGATTAGTGGTATTTACTGAACAGACAGGAGTAGCTAAGTAATGGGCAGCATTATTTTGAAATGTGGAGCACTTTGGGGTCCTACTCTTACCAATATAACAATAAAAATATTCTCAGAATAAATAATTTCTCTCCAACCTATGCATTTACAGAATTTATTGGAATCTATTTCAGTTAATTTTTCTATGGGGAGAAAAAGATTCGTTTAACACTGCTCCAAGCAGTATGCAAGATTTCTGTTTGGAAAATATTTACTATTTTCCTTGAATAGATGCATTTGAACCCTTACTCTCTTATCGCTTTTGGTATAATTTTTAGAAATCAGTATACCTGCTTTCAAGAAGTTTTCATGAAGCCAGATAACAGTATTTTTGTTTCTTGTGGGAAACATTGATTCCTAAATTCTGATGGTAATTTATCAATCTTACTTCTAATCCAAACACTTCATTTAGATTCTCAGTTACTTACAATCCCATTTGTGGCTGTGCTTGCTCTATTCATTGGTAATTGCTTTCAACAATTTGTATTTACCGGAGACATTTTGAAAACTTTGGTGAGGGGAGGAAGGAAGACAACATTTGAAAAATATTAGTCTCATTTTTCTCCTTTAAAAAATTGGCTCAATAGACTAAAGTCTCTACCTGTAAGTGCCGGCATCCCAGATGCATGCTGGTTCATGATCCAGCTGTTCCACTTCCTATTTAGCTCCCTGTTTATGGCCTGAGAAAGCAGTGAAGGATTCCAAATCCTTAAGATACTGTACCCATTTAGGAGACCAGAACGAAGTCCCTGGCTCCTGGATTTAGATTGACAGCTTTCAGCCGTGTGGCCATTAGGGTATGAACCAACGGATGGGAGTTCTTTTTCTCAGTCTCCTCAGTGTAAATACATCTTCCTTTCCAATAAAGATGAATAGATTTAAAAAATGCTGAATCAGGGACCACACTGTGGCACTGCAAAGCTACCATCTGCAGTACCAACATGCCTTGTGGGGGGCCAGTTCTAGACCTTGTCACTCAACTCCAACGCAGCCCCATGCTACCACAACTGAGAGAGCAGCAGAAGATAGAACAGGTGCTTGGGTCCCGACTCCTCCATAGGAGACCTGGAAGAAGCTCCCGGTTCCAGGCTTATGGCCATCAGTGAAGTGAATCAGCAGACTGAACACTCCCTCCCCATCAACACGCCTTTTATAACTCTGTCTTTCAATTAAGTAAAATAAATCTATATACAGAAGTCTTTTCATTTTTCTCAGCATTCATTTCCATGTTATTAAACATACATAAGCACAACAAGCACTCATACACTTGGGATTTTGGTATGCATACACTACATGGATGTGTACAACTTCAGGATCATTGATTTGATCATACTTATAGTCAGCTTCACACTGTATCCCACTCTCAGGTACAAAGATTTTATGTCCCCATTTTCTCTCCTTAAAATGTTACCTCTCAACCTATCACTTTCCTTTTTATCATTTTTTCTGCTCAAAAGGGGAGGCCACCAAAGAGGCTTCAATGACTCTCCCATGCACTCAAATTCATCTGCATGCCCTTTGGTTCCAAATGCCACCCCTCAGGTTTCAGGGATGTGGACTTAAAAGCTGTGGATAGAATCCAGCGCTCTCGTTGATCTGGGAGAGCACAAACGAGTGTCTTTACTTTCGGTAATTTATACAGGAAATATAACATTTTCTTTAACAGGACTGTGGACAAAAGCCACACTGTTTTATCTTACTTTAACACCCAAGAAATTCACCTATTTTCTATTTCTTTTGAAAAAAAAAAGGAATGTCTTTGATTATCACAACATGAAATTGATATATCATCCTATTAGAATTGGACCAGGAAAAGCAATGTTGTTACAACGCTTATATCTCAAGGTCCAAAGTGAGTTTTTATATATAGCATTACGGATATTTCAGGTCTATCAAAATGTTTGTTTACCAGCGCTTTCAAATCCTAGTAGTGTTAATGCAAACATGACAAGTTTTTCATTCAATGATTTAACAAATAAAACATATTTACTAATTGAAAACCAATCTTAATTACAGTTCATGGTCATTCCCTGTGTTGTCCTATGCAGCTTTAATTTTCTGCTTTCAGAACACATTTCTAGGAGAAGCTGTTCAGTTTAGTGGGAGAGACATCGTAAATCAGAGTGCTCAGGTCCAACTCCCACCTCAGCTTTGGAACTGCAGTCCTGTTAACGCAGATCCTGTTAACGCAGCAGCAAACTAGTTGGGTTTTTGGTTTGCTGCTGCCCGTGTGCCAGAACTGGATGGATTTTCTAACTCCTCACATTGGCCTGGCCTCATTCTGTCCTTGCCTGCATTTGGGGAGTAATCCATTGGGTAAGAGTTCTCTCTCAAAAATAAATTAGACAATTAAAAGTAAAATGCATTTCTATTTCCTGAAGTATTTATAGTAGTTATCTTTTTATGTCTCCTTAACTTTACATCATTTTTTTTCCTGTGGGATTTTTTTTCTATCTTGTCTATCAGACTATCACAGAGTTCATTTCCTATGAACTCATACATTCTGTGTGGTAGCTTTTCTTGTTTCCCTCCTTCAAAATCACATTTTTGAGTCTTCTGCAAAAGTTACATCTCTTTCTTCACTACAAACCATCAGTGCTTGACTGAATGCACTTGGCTTTGTTCTTTTCACTCCGCCGCCGCCAGGGGCTCCAGTTCTCTCTATATCTTTCCTTTCAAAGAGAAAAAACTTCAGGCCTTGTCTCACTTCATTGAATTTTCCTTTTTTAAAGATTTACTTATTTATTTATTTATTTTTTGGAAAGTTAGATATAGAGAGAGGAGGAGGGACAGAGAGGAAGATCTTCTATTCGGTGATTCACTCCCCAAGTGACTACGAGGGTCATAGCTGAGCCCATCCAAAGCCAGGAGCCAAGGGCTTCTTCCTGGTCTCCCACATGGGTGCAGGATCCCAAGGCTTTGGGCCAACCTCAACTGCCTTCCCAGGACACAAGCAGGGAGCTGGATAGGAAGCAGGGATTCTGGGATTAGAACAGGCATCGTTAAGGGATCCTGATGCATTCAAGGTGAGGACTTTAGCTGCTATGCCTCTGCACCAGGGCCCACATCATTGACTTTTTAGTAATTTTGGTGCTATCATCTCTGCCTCCACATGGCAGTGCTGCCTTCTCTTGAATTCTGTGTTCCACACTCCTACATTATTCATTTTTTAAAAGTAGATTCCAGTTGTATTTTACTGTCTCTTTTTCTGTCTCAATCTGCTCTGTACTTTTCATCTCTAAACTTTCTGCATGGGTGATTTTCACTTTTTTTTTTTTTTGTGGCTGTGACTTCCTAGCTCTGATTCACAATGCATTGCTTCTTTCCCAGGCCTTTCTCTGTGGATTTCAGTTTACATCACTCTTCCTTTTGGTTGAGATAAAGCTACATACAAGTCACGGTCATTGTCTGTGATTCCTTAGTCCAGAACCTCCCATTCCAACCACACACTACCTGTATTCTTTGTTGATTGTTTTTTTTTTCCCTGCATGGGAGTGTGTGGTTGCCTTCTAAATGCTCGAATAAAAATTCACTTCATCCTTGATATCATTTCCTCAATATCTTCTGCAGGTGTTAGTGCTAAAGCATCTCTTGAGCTCCTTCATCCAGTTTTTTCCTACTGCCTTTGCCTTGCTGTCTTCATTTTGCCTACAGCCCTGCTGCAAAAGACTTTAATTTGGTTTCCCTGGACAGTCATTTGTCATGTTCCAATTCATTCTTCAAATGGCAGCTAGTATAAAAGATTTACTAAAGGAAATCCAGTCATCTCACATAGGTCCCCCTTTTTCAAGATTTCAATTGCTCAAAACAAGCAGTTCCCATGGTGTTCCTTCTGCATCATTTCTTACTGGTCTTCGCCAAGGGTTTAATACTAGTTTTATGAAATTTGCCTTAACTCTCCCAAAGCAAAGTGTTCCTTGAAACCAACACACTTTATGTGTTTTATTATTTTCCTTCCCCTTCTATCCTTCTGTCTTTCAAGTTATGCATCCTTAAGTTTTAAGTGTAATGATTATTTTCATAGATAATACTCTGACTATATTTACACACTTCCAGACAGCAATTTGCATGTCTGGTTACACGTCTTTGTAAATTTTAGTTTTATCCATTTCCAGGTAAAATGACTTCATAATTATTGATTAAGACAATTAATTGTTCTTGCAGGATATTGCAGTTCAGTGTGACATAATTGTAATTTTATTTTGGTAATATACACATGTATCTGTCCATTGTTGTGAAGTTTTCCTGATCATCAGTTCCAAAGGAATAACCTTACATAACTCTGGATACTGCCAAGTGAGTTTTCAGAGAGTATGTGAGAGCCCAGCATTGTGGCATAGACTTACATCCTATAGAAACACTAGGTGAATTCCAAGTTGCTCAAATTTTGATCCAGCTTCTTGCTAATGTACCTGGAAAGCAGCAAAATATGGCCCAAGTTGTTGCCCCTCTGTCACCTAAGTAAGAGACTCCAGTGGAGTTCCAGGCTTCTGATGCTGGACTGAGTCATCCCCAACCACTGTGGCCATATGGAAGAATGCTCTCTCATTCACCTTCTCTCTCTGTGTCACTCCCACTGTCTGTGTTAATCTGCTTTTCATAATTAAACAAAAATTAAAATAAAAAGTATTCCAAATATATCATTCTGTTAGAACATTTGACAACCTTTGTCATCACACTCTTGTCAGTGAAATATAAAATTTTGTTAAGATAACTTTATATATTGTTAGCCCTTACTAGTGTCAATATTTTAGAAATTGTTTATTTATTTCAGAATTATTCAGAGTTATGGAAAGAGAAAAAGGGAGAGAGAGAGAAAGAGAGAGAGAGAGAGCTAGAAGCTTCATCAAGGTCTCTCACATGGGTGGCAGAGACCCTAACCTTTGGGACATCTTCTGTTTTTTCCAGGCCATTAGCAGAAATCTAGAAAAGAAATGGAGAACTGAGACAGAAACTAGTCTCTATGAAACATTGGTATTACAGGCAGTGGCTTTATCTGCTATGCCCCAATGCCAGGTCATATGTATTGATATTTTTTCTATATTAATCATTGACAAATTGCATTTTACATGTGAGTATATATGTAGCAGTGTGTGTGTGTGTGGGGGGTGATTTTTGTACTGTTGTACTATTGCTCCATTTACCAATTTGGAATTTTTTTCCCATAAATTAAGAGGACTTGGATAATTTATTGTGTATTTACTAAAGATACTTTCCTTACATATTGACTTTTAACTCTGTTGATTTTGGACAGATCAGTATTTCATAGTTTGAAGCCCGGAGTTTCTTCCAAGTCTCTCACAGTGGGTTCAGAGGCCAAAGCACTTGGACAATCCTCAAATGCTTTCCAATATACATTAGCAGAAAGCCAGATTAGAAGTGGAATAGCCAGAACTTAAATCTGGACCCATATGAGATACGGAGTCACAGGCAGAGACTTAACCTCTTATGCTGCAAAGCTGGTTCCGACACTTCTGGGATTTAGAGGAGTCACCATTATCTATATTCAAGCTATCGCCTGATGTCCCTACCTGGTACCAGGAGTATGCCCTGTCTGAGGGGTCGATGAGGATGGTGATAATCTTGGCTTTTGGGATGAGAGATGCAGCTCGCTTTGGAGCTTCCTCTGAATGGAAGTAATTAGCACTCTTTTCAAATAGAAAATCACTGGTGACATTGGGTGGAGTAGGGAAGAAGTCCATATACCTGAAGGCAAAGAACAACAATTATTCTAATTTTTTTTCTTGTAATTTATTTTAACATTTTAAATTAACTCACACCAGTTTATGAAAATTATGCCATAATAGTTTAAACAGTGGGTATTCTATATAATTTACTATAAATCTAAAGCATTGCTGTTTCGATGACACATTTTGGGGAAGGGAAAAAGGAAGATGGAATATGTAGAGTATAGGAAACCGAGTATATGCTGTAGAAATTGGCTGAGAGTCAGTGCTAGTGGCTGTGAAAGCCGAAGCCAAACAATATCAAGTTTACTCCTGAAAAGTAGAAGCACAAATGCAGAAATTCCTAAAGTGAGATTAAAATGCACAAGGCAGAAAGAACTGTAACTCAAAATAGTTACAAAAATCGAAATAAGTTAGAGCGTAGCTATTCTCCTTTGGAATTTCTGCATAATCTGTAGTGTATGTGGCAATGTGAACACATCACCATCAATCTACTGTAATTGAGAGGATGTTTCCTGCTGGCTGATCCTATGGTGCCTCAATAGGTTCACTCCTCCATATGTTGTCAGAACGTTCCTCTGTGTATAGATTATGGACTCAATATGTTCTGAGGTTAATTCAGTGCAAAGCTTTAATTGTGTGTGTAGCTCTCCTTACACTTCATCACTTCTCTAACCCCCAAATGTTCTAGAAATAAATAATGAGAGCAATTAAGAAGTCATATAAGACACTCATTTCCCTCTCTGACATTTGCTATTATGTTTCCCAAAAGTGGAGCGGTAAAAAATCTCATATATAGTTCTACTTAACAATTTGTGTTCCACTTGCTCTCTGATAAAGAGCAAACTGCTCTTATGCTTGTAGCAGATTTCATGTACATTTGAAACTTATTTAGCCTTTTAAAGGTACCATTCTTAATGGGAAGACCAATATGCCCACAGGTTTTAGACCTACTCAACCTTCAAAAAATGGCTCTTTCATTGAGGACAGCTTCACATGTGATGGTGACATTTAAAGTTATACATCGGAGATGTGCATTAAAGCAAAGTTCCCTTGTGTGAGGTCCTATTATATACCTGGGAACTGGAAATTAAACTCAGGGACATATTTTCTTGAAAATTGAGGTGCAGTTAAGAAAAACAAAATCGTTATAGTGAATATCACTACAAAATCAGGGTTATTTTTTATTGGCATATGAATAAAATCAGATTTCAATTTTTTCATAAATAGTGAAGTGCTAATTAACATTTCTTCAGGAGGGTGTATAGCTATAATTAATTTGGCTATTGAAATGCTTTGCAATTATTTTCATGACAAATACAAGCCCACAATACAATGAAATATATACTTCGTACAATAATGAAAATATATGCCACATATATCAAGTAGAGCAACATGCTGATTTATTGTCTCAAGTGTCACTGTGAAGACAAACTGTGCTTAGTAGAAAAAAATATTAGATTAATAAAAAGATTTAAAAATTAAAGAAATTTAGATAGAATTTTAAATCTTCCTTTGAGTTCTGAAGAAATAGAACCCAATAATGCTTATTATTCCATAATATTAATTTACTAGAGAAACATTGTCATTATTTTACTGTCAAAATGAAATTATAGGCAACACTGAAATATCATCATTACAAATTAATTTCTAATTCACTGTGACAGAATTGAATGTTACGAGCTTATTCTGTAATTATGCAGATGCCATGCATACATCTGTAATTGTTCTGCAAAGAATGAGCATGTATTAACAGTAGAGTTTATTCTTTTGCTATTTTTCTTACCAGTCAATTCCTTTGTGATAATTGTTGCCATTAAAAAATTGAACTTCCTCAAATGTTTTTGGACTGGGGAGATTGCTGATGATGGAAGGGTGCATAAGAAGGAATAAGTAAAGTGCCGTTGTTCCTATCACAGAGAAGAAGGACAAGGTCATATGGAAGTAAAAGAAGAGACAAAAACATTTTAAAAGCATATTATGTGTTCAAAAAACAATAGATGAAAGACTTCCTAGCATCAAAATAATGCTGGAAATTTGGTACATTATTTTTTGGTGTCAACAGTTTAATTGCTCTTATGTGATTGCCTGTGATTCTGTTTGTCTAGCTTTTAAGTTCCTGTTAGTACAGAGCCAATAAATAAATAAATAAATAACAAAGACTGATGATCAGGCGATTGTAGAACTTCAGAGATTCTGAGGATCAGTTTCTCTCCTGGAATCAGTTGAGAGGCAAGGCTACAATAACATAGGTGTCGCCACCTCTGATTTTGGTAACAGACGTGGTACCTAAACTCAGGTCTTCTGATTTTAGATTAATTGAATTGAATACACAATTAATGTTGATGTGCTACTCTCTATAAAATCATGGAATATTGATCAGAAATAACTCATGATAAGGAACACACATTTATTGTCCTCAGTAAACTCAATGTATTTGTGTATCTTGGTTAAGTGAGTGATAGTGAGAATTGTAATGAAATGACTAGTTGCTCTAAAATACAACAAAATGGGTGACACAGGTTTGTAAAGATAGTGAGGTCTTCAGGGAAAATTTCATTTTAAAAACATGCTACCCAATAAGTTTTGGGGAATCAGAAAGGATCTAGTACATTCATCATTCGACACCCTCACAAACAGGCTCAGGCACCATTAAGTTGAACAGATCCACTTAAAAATCTATGTAGTCGAGCCAGGTTCGGTTGCAACACAAACCAGTACACAACAAGTAATACCAAGGTGAGATGAGCCGTACCAGATATGGTTGCAGCACACAAACAGCACATGTGATAATCCGGGAGGAGACAAAGCCGACAGGGGAACGTGGGCACCCCTGCTGGATAACTACTTCCATTGGAAAGCGTGAATAGAGATGGGGGCAGTTCAGACTAGGCAGGGCTATAGCACCTGTGGGCCTCACGGTGAGCTGACTGTTCTGACTGGTGCAAGTAAAAATTAGAGTGGGTTGAGGGGTGTTTGGGCTTAGCCACAGCATTAGCTGGCAGAAGCTGGTACTGGGAGCTAATTCTGTCAAGTCAAATGCCAAAACCACCTGGAGAGTGCATAATCTGGGAGTGGGTGTGGCCTAGTAGGGAAATAGTGGGCACCTCCCTCAGGGTTACCACCCTCACTGGACAGCAATCCAGAACTGATGAACTATCAAAATTGTTTGAGCAGGAGCCTTGGAGAGCGCCTCATGTTGGGGATCAGGGATGGGTGGGAGGTTGGGTGGGGCTTTTCCCTTTGTTACTCCCCTAACCCCAGATACAGGGCAAAATTATTATAATGGTGTGGAAACAATGATATTACCCACTTTCACCCTGTAGCCCTTGACCCTTTGTACCCTAATAAACTAAGATTATTAAAATTAAAACAAAACAAAACAAAAAAAAACCAAAAACAACAACAACAAAAAAACCTATGTAGTGGGCATATCCCACAAATCTCACATGTAATCTCTGAACCTTCTTTCCCTTGGAGCAAGGTCATAGACCACAGACTACAGGAGATAGGCCACAGAGTGACTGGGTCATTACTGCTCTCATAAATCAAGGCTTCCCTTGATTTAGGTCAAGTTAAGGTCAACTCTTACCACAAAGTAAAGGATGTGTATGTTCTAGCTCTAGGAGAGATGGAGCTAAGCTCTGCAGGTGAAACGATAAAATAATTACCATTACAGCTACAGATCTGGAGGCAGAAATGTCAGAAAGGAGCTGGATTTTGTTCAAATGCACTGTCAGGTATATACATATGTAAAGCCCGCTAATAGATACATGAAAAGTTGCTCATTCTCCCTTCTTATTAGGAAAATATAAATAAAAACCACATTGAGATTCCCCCTAACTCCAGTGAAAATGCCTAGTGGATGCAGGAAAAAATATACTCTACTCGACTGTTGATGGAGGAGCAGGCTAATATTAACTACTATGGAAACCAGTATGGAAAATGCTAAGAGAATTGAAAATGGATCTTTTAATGACCCAGTTATTCTACTCTGGGAAATTGATCCAAAGGAACTAAAATTTGCATATGAGGGTGACCTGTGACCCTATATTCATAGCAGCACAATCTAAAGTACTGAAGACATGAAAACAACCCAGGTGCCCATTAAAAGAGGAATGGATAAAGAAACCGTGACATATATACTCTATGGAATACTACTCAACCATAATAAATAACGAAATCCCAATATTTGCAACAAAATAGTACCAACTAAAGACCCTCATTCACAATGGAATAAGCAAGTTCTGAAAAGACAAATATCTTATATTCTGTCCGGTATAAAACAACATTCATCCAAAATACAAGATAAGTATCTTGTAGTATGTACCACCATTCTGGAATACAAGGAGGTCTCCCAATAAAACTGTAACTACAGTTTTACAATAGGATACTAGACTATCTAGCATTGTCTATATGAGCAATGTTATGATATATTAAATAGTAGAATGATGAACTTGTGACTGTTGCTGAAGGACTATATTATCATAATACAGGGGCAAACATTGGGAGAGGAATTGGGGAATGAATGTGCTTATGGAACTGTATCATGAAAAATAATACTAAAATAATACTTTCACAATTAGAATATGGAACCAAGTCATCCAAATCACTTTAAAACAACACCAGCAAATAAAGAAAGAAACAGAATTGGCTAAGCACTGAGTTAGAATGTCAGGCGAAGCAGTATGTGGGTTAAGCTGCAGGTTGCAATGCCAGAGTGCTAGTTTGGTTTCTGGATATCGCACTTTGGACCTAGTTTTCTGCTAACACACCTGGAAAAGAATGTGGCCTGAGGACTTGGAATCCTGCTATTCACATGGGACAATTGGATGGAATTCCTGGCCCTGACCTGTTTGGTAGCCATTTAGAAAGTTAAGTGGTGAATACAAAGTTTTCTTTATTTTTCTGTCTGTCGTCTTGTCCTTGTCACTGTGCCTTCCTAATAAGTAAAATGAAAACTTAAAAAATAATGGAGTTAGAGCCCTAAAGACCAGACAGAAGAAACACCTTGAAAAAAATGGAACATACCAACATAAAAATTGAGAGATGAGTGAAATCTTGGAGAATTGATTATATTTGTTCCTGAAGATATAAAGAATTCAAAAAAGAAAGCATAGGAGAAGATAAAAAATTCAAATTTTAAAAAATCAATTAGAGGTAGAATAATAATTCTAAATAAGTATAAAATCCTGAATGATTTTTAAATATTTTTTTAAATAAGATTTACAAGTTTTTAAAATAATATGAGAATGGGAGAGAGAGGTGGAGATGTTTTGGTATACATAAGAGATCTGAAGGAAATGAGAATTTGCCATTGTTGACTTATTGAATATGGACAGACCACACACAAATAAAAAAATTGAATCATTACTGATTAACAACATAGTACAAAATGTCACCCAGCAGTGGATAGCCATGTTAGTCACCCTGATGGTCACAGAATTTTCCTGTATCTTCTCTGGACAAGAAGAAGTAATTTTTTTTGTTCTGAATCTGACCCCTTATGCCACCAGGAGCAGGAGGGATAATAAGAAGGTGAAAGAAACCTCTTGTTTGATACTCATCTGTCAGTCTCAAGGTCTGGCCAACTACCACAAAAATACATATATGTTATTTTGTCACTTTATCTCTATTCTTGCAAGTAAGGTTGCATCTATTTTTGTCATTTATTCTAATCTAATTTCTTGGATTCAAATGCTCTGTGGGAGAAGAAGGAATGTCTTACATTCTGCAACAGAATCTTGATTTTTACATACACTCAACCTGTCTTTCATGTTTTGATGTTCTGGGGTAAGCCAATCAGTGATGAAAAATTAAAAATCACAGAACAAACACTGTCTTTTTTGGAAGATTTAATACTAATTAATTATGGCCTTAGAATTATTGTGCTGAATTTGATCCTATTGGAGAGCCTCACTTATATTGATAAGTTCAAAACTTGATTTTTGAAAGACAAAGGATATGTATCTGCCTAGAGGCTAATAGGTCAATGCCTTAATTCCCCAGTGTTTCAATGCAGGGCTACCATCTCTCCACTTACATTTCTTGTTCTCTTTATTCCTTGAATAGGATTTTCTTTTAGGATTTACCAATGGCAAACTAGGATATGACAGCCTTCAGTTTTCACCTTATAACTACTACTAAGCTGTCCTTATAGGATCAGTTTATACCTTATGTTTATTGTAAGATACACATGTACTATTTTTTAATTATTGGCAGGCAACTTTACAAATAAAGACAGATTGCTTGCATTTATCTGTGATCCAGAGCAGGGAATTTACAATTACTGATAGCAGTGAGCATTTTACCAACTAAAACAACATGGAGAACAAAACATGACTTCATATTTGATTTGATTTTAAGGATTATTATGATTTTCATATAACAACATCATTTTCACAGCATATAAAATATTATTATTATCATCTGATTTCTTTATTTTAGTTTATTGCTTGTTTGTTTGTGTTGAAAAAGCTAAAATCAGCTACTGGTCATTCCCTACTGCTAGGTCAAATATTAAAACTTAAAGGCAAAATATACTGTCTTTACAGGTACAAACAACAAAAGGAAAGTAGATTTATAGATAGAAATCTGCAAAAATTTTCTGGCTGAACTAAGAAATAATAATATGAAAAACAATAAAGAATACATCTTTAAATTAACTTTTTAACATAAACTTACACCACAAGAAAGTTTTATTTCTGTATTAGTAATTCCAGTTAGCACTGTTCTAAAAGAATCAGTCGAAGATGAATGCACATTTTCAACAACAACAACAAAATGACAGATCTGAAAATATGTGCTGTTTTGTTCCCATCCCTGAACATGTCTTAATTTAGTGTTGTAACACAATTTATGTTCCTAAAGTATGAAAAGATTTTAACAACCAATATCTAATAGTCTGGAAATTTACCCCACAATCTTTAAAATGATCTACTTGCTTGCATTACAAATATCTTCATCTAGGCCAGGCTTATTTATTGTGACTGTTTGTTCTGTGTTATGGTTTGTGCACTCACTGATGAAAATGCTTCTAGTCAAAGTGGTGAATTCAAAATAAAGCAACTCAATAAAAACTTTAATTAATCAGGACATGGAGCAAAGTGTATGAAACTGTCACATGCTGAAAAATGTATAAAATATTCTAATTGAAAGTGTCATCACATTGGTGAAATACTTTCACCCCTTTTAGTTCATTCTTACAGAATTGGCCTTCAGTGAATGAGAAAATAAGCAGGAAAAAAGTACCTCATGCACCTCACTTGTATCATGAAAGCTGTACAAACCATATTAATACCTAAGTTACACATATAAAATATTTGAAATTAATAGTGAGAGCAGATCAGAAAAAATGTATTCAAGATCCATGTACTGTGTAAAGTACTTTGAATCGGGCCATCACCATGGGGTAGCAAACTAATCTGCCTGTGGTGTTGGCATCCCATTTGGGCACGGTTCTAGTCCTAGCAACTTCATTTCTGATTAAATTCCCTGCTAAATATCTGATAAAGGAGCAGAGGTTGGCCCAAGTACTTGCACCGGAGCACACATGTGGGAGACTCAGAGGAACTCCTGACTCCTGACTTCAGACTGGTCCAGCTCTAACTATTGCAGCTATCTGGAGAATGAACTGGTGGATGGAAGATCTCTATCCCCTTCTCTTACTCTATAACTGTAAGTTCCAAATAAAGTAAATACATCTTCACAAATCTGAAATACATTAAAGTTATTTTTTTTTCATAGCTTCATTGAAGAAACAATTACAAAAAACTACGAAATGGGAAGATTAAAGCCAGAATCAAGAGCCCAGCAGCTATAATCCAAACCTTGCAAGCACCAGGATGCCATATGGGCACCAATTTGTATCCCAGAGGCCCTGTTTCCCATCCAGCTCCCTGCTTGTGGCCTGGGAAAGCAGTCGAGGATGGTCCAAAGTCTTGGGACCCTGCACCTGCATGGGAGACCAGGAAGAGGCTCCTGGCTTTGGATTGGAGCAGCTAGGGCACTTGGTGCTGCTCGGGGAGAAAATCAATGGATGGATCCTCCTCTCTGTCTCCTTCTCTCTGAATATCTAACTTTGCAATAAAAATAAAATAAATCTAAAAAAATCCTCAGGTACCCTAACTTTGACACATCCGTTTAGAGTTTTCCAAAGATTGACTTGTGGAGCAGACATTTGACATGGTTTCTAAGATACAAGCTTGGGTACTTATTGAGTCCGAGTTCTGTTCTTCAGTCCTCTTGTGAGGCAGCAGTTGATAATCAACTGTTTGAATCGTGTTCCCAACTTTCTCCTGGTTTTCAGAATGAGCCAGTCAATGAGAAATAGTTCTCTTTATCTCTCACCCTGTTATTGCCTCTCTACATTTCAGGTGGTAGAATAGAATAAGTAAATAAAATTGGAAACCTTTGACATGTATGTTCAACAGTGGTGAATTTAGACGGGGGCCCATAGTGTATTAAAATTATGTTTTGGCAAAAACTAAAAAAAGAGAGAAATTGGGGGAGGGAGAAAGATAGGAAGTGAGGTTGTCTTCTTAGAACCTTACTATGTAATGCATGGGAACTATTCTCTATATTGACAAAACAGTAGTAATTAAATCTGTAAAGGCTTAATAATACTCAAATCTTAAGCAATGTTTTTATCTTTTTAAAGTTCTCAATATTAAGAAGATCCTTGGAAATCAAAGTAATTAAAAGAGTTTATATGGCATCTAAATGTTTCACAAGGAAAACTCTAATGCAATTGTGACATAGGAAAATGTATTCTAACAATAATAATTAAAAAAATATGTACAATGCAATTAGCTATTTTTACCTGTTTTCTGCGGACCAATTACAAGGAATTTTGGTAGGTGATCGCACGTTTTCTCTCTGGACCAGATGTCTTTGTGTCGTTTATCATCACATGGATTCTACAAGAAGGAAGAATAGTTAATCTTACTGTATTTGAGTGTTTAAAGTTTTTCTAGTTTTTCCATAAATGGTATACAAGGCTTGCTGATGACCCAAAAGTAGAAGTTGGAGCCCATTCTCATTCTATGGTTTGCAAAGTTCCCTTCTAAAATAATTAATGGATTTTCTTTCTTCCAGGCAAGAGCTTTTAGCATCATGTCAATCTTCCTGACAGTTTTTCATGTTTGATTAACTTCTGATGTCTGAGGTCCTACTCTGGTTTTAGATTATGTTTTACACATGTACATCAGAAAACTTAATTTGATTTTCTTTCGTTTGGCCATACTTCTCACATAATAGCATTTGATCTGATTTTATTTATTTTTTTTTTCACAGGAGGCTGAAGTACTGCCTTTGAACTCCATACTTTATCTTCTCGTTCACTCCCCAAATGCCTGAAACTACTGGGCTGGAAATCATGTGCACTCGAGTGCCTTGAATTCTATCCAGGTCTCCCACATGGATGGCTGGAACCTAAACACTTGAATTACCTGCCATCTCGTCTGATCCCAAGATGTCATTAGCACAGTGCCAGTTCAGATGAGCAGGGCCTAAGACTCAAATCGAGCACTCTAACCAGGCATGATGTAAGATTACCTCAAAGGAGCCATTTGAGTGGCTGTCATAAAAGTCCACCCCAGCCTCTATACAAAACTACGATTTGGAAGTACTGTATGTAATCTGAAGTACATCATTCAAATAACGCTTTCTGCTATCTTGCTTAGCTCTAGATGGTTGTGTTTACCACTCCTGTTAAAATAAGAATAAAGTGCAATGTAAGAGACCAGTGATACACAAAGACAATTGCATTGTAAAAGATTAGGTCATATGTCTTGCATTCATCTATCAACACTGTGACAAAGGGAGTTAATTATGGACTAGTAATCTTTGTTTTGTATCAGTGAGATGTTCTTGTCACTGATGTCTTTATACTTTCCATGTCTTTGACATTCAATCTCAACTTACTCATATTTTTGCATTAACTTAACCACCAATCATGTTTTTCAGAGTAATGGAGAAAGTTCTGACACCTGTTTCCTCTTTCTTCAGTTGGTGAATGTACAACCTCTATTTTTCTTAGTGTACAGGCTCTTTGGAGGCACTATTTCATAGTGTTTCTCTAATCCAGTGTTTTTCATACAAATGATTTCAGTCTATTGGAAAATCACCCAAGATAGCGTGATCTGCAACCCTGAAAAATGAGTAAAATTGCAGAACGTGCTGTAGACTTAATGGAAGCAAGACACATGGCGGAGACTGGTGACAATGGAACAGAACTGTCTCGTTCTCTGACTAGCTACTCATATTTGGACAGTTTTGAATGAGAAATATGTTTCTTCGATTTAGCCAAAGTAATTCCACTCATCATTGATAGAACATGATGTGTACTCCCATACAATGTGCTTTAAAATTCTTATCAATCAGGGCTGCCTCTGTGGTCTAGTAGGTAAAACTGCCACCTGTGGTGCTGGCATTCCATATTGGTGCTGGTTCCTATTGTGGATGCTCCATTTCTGATGCAGCTCCCTGCTAACAGCCTAGGTAAAGCAGCGGAAAGTGACCTAAAGATTCGTGCCCCTGCATGCACATGGGAGAATTGGAAGAAGCTCCTGATTGCAAGCTTTGGACCTGCCCAGCTCCAGCCGTTGTAGCCTTTTAGGGGAGTGCATCAGTGAATGGAAGATCGTTCTGTCTTCTCTGTGTCTTTCAGACACAATAGAAACGAAGAAAAAAAGGAAAACTTCTTATCTATGAGGAAAGGTAAGGAATTTGTTCAAGAATGTGAGCCGATCTCATCTTATTCAATGAGAATTTCCTGCATCCTGATAAAAACAAAATTCTGGATGAAGTAGCCTGTGTGCTCAGAGTATTCCTGATTGACATTTTGGCATTCGTTGCTTGTCTCATGCTAAATCAGCAATAAATAATTTAGACTTTTTATGGACCACACTCTGAGTAACCTTACTGTGAATTAACAATTATCATCGTCAACCTAATACTTCTTCTTAAATGTGTTTTGGGAGCTGGCATCATGGCAGAGTAGGTTAAATCACCCCTTAGGATGACTGCATGTCTCATCGGAGTCATTTGGCTATCCCCTGATACCCTGTTTCCAATTCAGCTTTCTCCTGATTGTAATCATGAGAGGCAGAAGGTAATTGCTGAAAGATTTAGATCCTTTATACCCACTTGAAAGGCCCAGAAGGAATTTCTGACTCCTATCTTCAACTTAGTGAGGATCTCTGTCTCTCTGTCCCTGTCTCTTCTGTCTCTGCAGTAAGTACAAATTGAAAATATTTTAAAAAGTAGGTTGCTTCCTTGTAAGTATTCATGTCTGCCTCTTAATTTTTGAATTATTTAGTTTTCTATGTATTGTTCACATATTCTAAGTCACATTTAATATTTTGCATATACTTCTGACATGCTAATATTTACTATACATGATATTAATAAATATAATTAATTTATTTTGTAGATCAGGAGGAATATATTGCTGGTGCCTTAAGACATTTTCCCCAGTTTTCTATCTGTAAAATAATGCTTTGATGCTATCTGTCTCACATGGTTGGTCATCATATTCCAATGGTGTATACAACAGAGTGCTTATGATTTGCTTATGATAGAGTCCTTAATTTCTTCTTGTCTAGATAAATTAGCAACTAAATCTAGATAAAATTTGACCTTATTAAAAGATTGATCTGTGACAATCTTGAGGAGATTAACATTGCCAGAATGCAATGTTACCCAAGGGAATGATCCTTTATATAAATTTTACCTCACAGAGTCAGATGACTTTGAGGAAATAGCTTAAGTCTGTAGGCTACTCTACCAGCTGCCCCAAAGAGCCTTGTGAAACCTTAATTTGATCTATTTCTGGGGATGCTTACTGCCTGGATATTGAAGCTCAACTAAGGTGTAGCTAGCATGTGTAATGATTCAGGGATCAACTCAAACTTTACTTGGGTTTGATCATAACCAAAGCTTTTTTTCATTCATGTGTATGAATATCTTGTCATATTTTCATGAATATTCTGCATTTAAAATTCTTTTATACATATCTGTATGTGACTTTCATCATTTCATATAATTCATACTACAATAATAGTTTGTAATAATTCTATCTCAATTAAATGAGGTCTCTTGCTTTTTCGTTCCTATAATATAATAACTGATTTTCTTGATAAATGTTTACATACTAAATAACTAACTACCTTATTTAGGACAACCATGATAATAATTTGGAAGTAAGCATATACCTACTTTGATGTAAGTTGAATGATAACAAAATATGCATTGCATTTACATTTTACTTCCAAATCTCTTCTTGTATCCCCCACCTTCCTCACAAAGAAAACAAGTTTCCAACATGGTTTCCGGAACAGTTCTAGCTATTCAGTCACACTATCACTTTAGAATTTGAAATTGTCTTTTCCATATTATCATATAATTGCGTTAGCTGTAAATAACCTTATTTCTTAACTCTATCTTAGAAACTATGAAATAGAAAAGTGATTTCCATGACCTATACTTATTGAATTTCCCCTACACAGAGATCATCAAAGAACAGATCTCAGAGTAAGTGTTCAGTTCATTTCCTTAGCAAAGGTAGAAGAGCAATTTGATGGCTAATTCAGGACTACTATTGAAAATCAAAGTTTTATTTGTTATATCTTTCTCAGCTCTATATGTCCAGGGAGGCCGCTTATCTTTTTTATTGCAGTACCGTGTCCTTCCCATTCTAACTTTTGCTTGTAGAAGTGGTGAAATAAAATGGCTACAGAAATATAAGACTTAAAGTGTTTTCTTTGTCTCTTACACACAGGACACGGATAAAAATGCCTCTTTTATTACACAGTGGCGCTATTTATGTTAGGGTATTTCAAGACATTCATAGGAAAATGAAATTACAAGTTGTTTATTTTGGTACAAATGTTTTTAAAATTTGTTCTTTATTTTTTTCTTTTCTTTGTCTTGGATTAATTTTTTGTTTAAACTTAGAAATCAAAATTGCAGACAAAAAAGCACAGAGAGAGGAATGTTCCTTTCCGAATGACAGCAACAGCTGAGGGTGGGCTAGCACAAAGCCAGGAGCCTGGAACTTCATCTGGAACTTTCACACAGGTGGCAGTAGTCCAAGCACTTGGGTCTTCCTCCACTGATTTCTCACCATCATTAGCGGGGTTCTGGACTATAAGAACGGCAGGCAGGTCTATATTTAATACTGGTATTGGATATTGGTGTCATAGACAGTGACTTTAGCCCATTGTGCCATAAAGCTGGCCCCTATATTTTGATAACATGTATTTTCTACAAACATATTGAAGGTACCACATCGGCATACATTTTAAAAAATTTACGACTATCTTTTGATTACATTTCCACATTTTAAATTTTTTTTAAAGATTTATTTTTATTATTTTTTTATTGGAAAGGCGGATATACAGAGAGGAAGATCTTCCGATTGATGGTTCACTCCCCAAGTGAGCACAACGGACGAGCCTCTTCCGGGTCTCCCATGCGGGTGCAGGGTCCCAAAGCTTTGGGCTGTCCTCCACTGCCTTCCCAGGCCACAGGCAGGGAGCTGGAAGGGAAGCAGGGCTGCTGGGATAGAACCGGCGCCCATATGGGATCCCGGGTGTGCAAGGCGAGGACCTTAACCACTTGCGCCACCGCGCCGAGCCCAACATTTCTACATTTTTTAGATCTTCTATGTCTACTTGCACTTTTCCAAGGAAATCATGGTGGTAGGAATAAACCTATAAAGTTACTTGTGTCCTAAGATGTTAACAATTGCTATTCCAAAAAGTTGTTACTACTACTAAATCGATTTGCCTGACTTCAGCTTTTCCTGTAGGTATCTTAAGTTTGTGGCATTTGTATTTCTTAATCTAGGCAACTTGTCTTCATATTTGTACTGTTTCTAAGTTATGTATCATCTTCTGTATTCCAGGTACTTTTT